TACTGTTAATGTCGATAATCTTGTTTGGTTGGTAAAGTGAACGTTAATTTCGAAGAAATTATTATTCTTATTTTTCTAATTACTTAGTATGTGGTAAATTTAATCATTGACGATGTAATTCTGTATTTTTTTTATAATGTCTAATTAGCAGGTTTGGAAAAAATCATAATTTTTTTAAAAAAATAAAAAAAAATCAGATTTTTTTTATTTAAATCATATTTTTTTTATTTTAATTCAAAACAATAGTTAAATCGGATTTCCAAATGACTAGGACTTATTTCCAATTAAAGTCCTATCCTGAATGGCTAAATCTTTATAACTCTGCCTAATACCGATAACATTAACAATTCTACGGCGCGTGTCATTTTTCCACATCGGTCACCCAATATATTCCGCAAAAAAGTCGCTCGTTTCAGATGAAAAGGATTTTTTTCAAACATCTCAAAAATATTAACTTTTGTCATTTTAACGCCTAGGCATAAAAGTAAAGCACTGTTACGCCTAAACACAAAAGTACAAAAATATATTATTAAACTGATATTAAGTGTCAAATTCAACGAGTGTATAAATTGTTGCTTGATTACTGTTCATATTATTTGCAAAGTTTGAAATTGATTAAAACATTATTTGAAATGTTTTAAAAGAAATAGTATGTTCTATTCGAGTTAAAATGTACTTTTTGTGCATCCTTGTAACGTCGGAATAGCTTTACGATGGTCCTTCAAAGGTACAGCATCGTTAAAAAAAGTATAATTTTTACTCCTAATAAAAGAATACACTATTGTTCGGAAATAGTCGCGAATGAAATTAGTATGCTTTATCTAATGTCAAAGTATAAAGTACTTACTGCAGATCAAAATGACGGACGGTAGGAATTTGGAAATATACAACCGTCTCTAAAAAAAATATAAAACAACACATTTTCTGACAACGATTATAGATTCTCGGGAATGAAGATATAGTCTCTATATCAGAACCTAGTTCTATTCTAGACTTTGCGAATGATATGTATTCGAACAGCGAATTTATGACACTTATACATAAATTTTAAAATAAATCCCTGCATTTAGCGGTCTAATGGATTCACACGAAATTACTTCAAAAATCGGTCCAACATTTAAATTGATGAATAGATATTTTTATAAAATTTTATAACATTTACAATTATTTTTCGATTTATTATGTTATATCTGTTCAGTTTTCTAGGACACATTTTTATAACTTTTACAGTTATTTTTCGATTTATTATAAAGTTTCAATAACATTATTTTTTTTATTTAAATCACATGATTAAAATTTAAAAAATCACTTGATTTAAATCATGTCAACCTTGCTAATGAGGAAATTGCATGTTTTTAAATAATGGTTTTAAAAAATAGTTCATATAATTACAAATTGAACAAAAAAAAATCGTTGATATCGGTTAAGAAATGCCTCTAATATAAAATAATTAAATATTGTTAATTTAAATGGCCGGGCAAACGCTCTCTACCGCGCCTTGCCGCTGTGACGTCACCCGCCGTTCTTCTGGTTGAGTGGAGCCAGACGCGTGTTTATTTTACACAGTTTGCTTTTAAACGCTGTTGAATCCGAGTCAAAATTTTAGTTATTTGTGTTAATTAATACATAATTAGTAATTAGCGATATTTATAAATAGTAATTGATGAGCGAAAACAGAAAAAAATGGTCCAAGGCCTTGAGAGGAGATGAAAAGAAAAACGTTAAATTATCCTCTATTTTTACGATTTATTGTTTTGAAGATCATTTTGATGTAAATTCATATATTTATGTAAATATATTGTCTTACATAGGTATATGAAATTTGAATGTACAGGGTTATTCATTATATTTTGACACCCACATACAGCCTTAACTGCAACTTTTAGAAGAAAACTTAAATAAAAAAGTGGCATGGTTTTTCATATACTCTTTTTTAAAATTAATTCTAGTTATACAGGGTGTCTCAAAAAAGGTGGTCCAGAAAATTGTAGGTATTTATCGCTTTACAACTGTCAATATTTCGTAAACATTTGAAGCTAGGTATAGGATATTATACATGAAATATATCTAGAATATCTAGAAATTTCCGAAGAATCCAACTTTCTTTTTCACGCTCTGCTCTGAAGTTATTTTTTCACGTACTAAACAAATATTTTTGTCTCTTTTCACTTCTACATAACCTACCGCATATCTCCGTACGTCTCCCTACCTGATCTAAAAAATAAGTTTATAACATTAATATTTATAACTATATAAAAGTTCGTAACAGTAGGTACCTACTTATACTTAAATATGCCTCAGTACTACAAAGAATAAATGTTACATACCTCTCTGTTTTTTTCCTCGTAATTCAGCACCAATAAATTGGGAATTTGTATTTATAAAAGCAGCCAACATAAAAGCATCGACTTTTGGCAAGTTATCTGATTGTGCTTTTACAAACCCGGAATCTGCCATTACTTAAAAAATTCTCAGAACACACAACACATACAAATAATAACTGCACAAAAAAGCATAAAAAGCTCCTTCAATCAACGCTAAAAGCAACAAAAATGTCTTAGTACGCCACCTAAATACGTACATAAACGGAACACGTCTGGCTGCTGCTGGCCATCGCGCGTCGACGAGAACGGCGGGTGACGTCAGACCAATAGAATATCGTTTCAATTCGCGAGGCGTCGTTTGCGTTATCCATAGTATTTTAATGGCCCGTTTTATAAAATTGTGGTACTGCTTTCAAGAAAAAAGTTTTTTTTTGCATTTACACATATTTATTCTAATAAATTGAACAGTTTCTGGCGAAAAATAAAATATATGCATCTTCCTCATTAGTAATATTACCGACATATCTGGTTAAGTTTTAAAGAGGGAGACTAACGTTTTTTATAGGCATTTCCCGAAGAATGACTATGATGAGTAAGAAATATACTTTAGGTTACACGTTTTATAATACGTTTGCGTTCTGTGAGATATGTTGCACCTCTCTAATAAAAAATGATGTGCCAGCCACGGTTCAACGGCAAGTATGTTTGATTGTCTGACTAACGAGTAAAAAAGACGGTCCTACACGATTTGGCGAACACCTTCCAACGTTGAACGCACGGACATTTGCCACATTGTGTGGTAGTCAGGGTTAGGAAAACTACATGTTACTTTTAAAAACTACATTACATGTAGTTAATGTAGTTTATGTAGAGGGTGTAGTTTATGTAACCTATGTATGTAACTTTCAAACATCAAAGGTTTGAAGTGAGGTTGTAATAAGTTGAAGCTTTAGAAAACACAATGTATTTAAGAAAACAGAATAAATATGGCTTTAAATATAATATTCGCACATCATATTATGTAGACCCCTCATACAAAGCAAAATTATTTAAATTATCAATACATAGTTTATTAACGTAGTTTTCATGTAGTTAATAAACGGGAAAAGTCGTAGTTTTTGAAGAAAAACTACACGTAGTTAATCAGGTAAATTACGTCTTAACAGGGACGCGCCAAGTATTTTCGGCGCCGCGCCGTCGACGTCGTACGAAATAAGGGTAGGCGCCTTTCTCCAATATTATAATATTAAGCCAAAATTTCCAATGACCAGCGGCGCGGCGCTCGACATTGGTTGATCTTCACCACTGGCGTTCATAGATAAAAGTATTACTTAAATTTTATGTTAATTTGTTGATAAGTTCCAAAAAATGGTTTCATTATTTTTTAAAGTCAGTGACCGCAGGCGCCTTTAGGGCTTTGGCGCCGTCGTGCGCCGCACGACCTTGCTTATATGGACGGCGCGTCCCTGCGTCTTAATTGACTACTTCCGAACCCTGGTGGTAGTGCAGAGATTCATGTGTCCAATGTTGGAAGCAAGTTCGGGCTCTCGTCCGTAAATTTCACCCGCGTCAAAGGACCTTCCAACGTTCGAAGCATTGTTCGAAGCTCTCCCGCACGGTTGTGATCACATGGTTGATATTTTACCGGGATCAGTAGCGGCCTCGCTTTTAATGTTATACCGTGGTCTCTTATTCACGTTGCAAATTTTTTGTGTTGCATTGTTCATTGCCAAATATATGTAAGGCGAGCTTATTTTTCACTATTAATTATTCATTTTACTACAGCTGTAATAGATTATATTTAGTTTAGATATGTTATCACCATTTCAGTAGAATACATGAAAGTTTTTAAAATAGCTTATTTCTACACACATTTTCCTACAAACGTAAACAACCGGCAACACTGTATGCCGCTTTTAATTTTGTCTCTCTGTCTGTCAACTGGTCATTTATATTATTCTCTGTCACACTCATTAAAATCCAGACCACATAAATTGGATGAAACTTTTCAAATTTTCGCTTAAAAAAATCGTAGCTTAAATCTCATTGAGTACCATGGCTGTGTTAAAACACTAATTTTTAATCAATTAGTCTTGGAAAAATAGATTTGATCGTCTAATGTTTTTCGTGCCTTGTCCTGGCCGGTTAAAAGATGCCCAAATCGTGTTTTTAATCATATCTCATTTTTTCAAATAGAACAAGGGTGGCTCATTGGCATATTTGGAAAAAGCATATTTGGAAAAAGCATTTTTTAAGAATCATTTGGTACCACACACTTGGTATTTCGAGTCAAATTGTCGTTATGAACCGCATGTTACAACTTCAAATAAAGCATATGCGAAAATGTCAAAAGTTGACATATGATATGTCATTCTAATACCGAGGGTGTCATTTAAAAATCAAAGGTTGTAGTAATTTCCGGTGAAACAGGAGGTGACCAAAAACAATTCAATACGTCCATCAATCCTAATTTATCTCATATACTAACATACCAAATTTGTTTTTTTTTATCTGAAAAAATAAAAAAGTTATAGGGGGTGAGCCACACTTTTGAGATGCACCCGGTATGAGAGAAAAGAAGAGAGTGTCCTTTCTCTCATTTTCTGAATATCGTCTGTTAGATTCTTTCCCTGGACAAACTCTAGATAGTAAAAGCATTTTTAACTCTATTCACAGCGTTCCTGTATAGAAGAGACTATAACATTTTTACGATAGACTGGGCAGACCTCACTACATTTCCGTGCTATCTGTCATCATTATCTAATACACGTGTCGTGTCTCAATGTACTGCAAAACTGTATGCCTTTATTATGGACCATGGTGGAGACGCTACGCAAACGATGTGTGTTGGTCATTCCTTAGGTGCTCATATCTGCGGTATGGTCAGTAATCATCTTAGCTTAAAACAGCATAAAATAGTAGGTAAGTACTCTAATAGACTACACATTTATGTACTATGTACACATAACTAACTTTACAGCTTGTGCCTCAGCTTTTTTGCTGCCGATAGAGAAAATGCGACAGTCGCTATATGGTACCTACCCGACTAGGGTTTACATACGTCCGGATTTAACCGGACATGTCCGGATTTTTAAAGCGCCCGGGACGGTCCGGCCCGGATTTGGAAAAGCGTCCGGGAAACCTAACCGCAAAAACAATTTAACTTAGTAAAATATTTTACCAGTTACAGTTGAATTATTTCTCAGTTACTTTGTTGAATATTTTAGTTTATACGATGCTACAGCTTTACTTAACCGACGCATGTTCGAAAATACCCATTTCTATACTTTGGCGCTCAAATTTCTCCCATTTGGTGCACTCCTTGAAAGTGAATATTTTTTGGTTTATATTTTGTTGATTCCGTTAGGTTAGGTTTGGTTTCTTTGACATATACCACATCTCTTTCGTTTCTGGTATTGATTATTCAATTTTTTCTTCTATAAGTAAGAGATTCAGAATCAGAATCGGAATTTATTCAACCATTTCCAGTTATGGTGTAGCCTCCCTCATATACTTAGATACTGTCTTTGTAGTTGGGCCTATTGTTGTCTATTGTTGGCTATGCGGGCCCAAGTTATTCCTGCTAATTTCCTAATATCATGGTCCCATTTCAGGTTTCAGATTCTTTTTCTAGATCTTTTAATTCCTCGTGGGAATCATTCTGTAATTTTTGTGGTCCATCTGTTGTCCGTTCTTCTTGCCAAGTGCCCTCTCTCCTAGCCTGGGATTTGACTCTGTGGATCTATTACCTGGGTCTTTTGTCGTATCCACTCTATTATTTTACGGTCTCTCTTGGTTATTCCCAGCATATTTCGTTCCATTGAACGTTGTGCGACCTGCAGTTTCTTTATGATGTCTATTTAAAGTGTCCAGGTTTCGCATGCAATAGGTCATGAGTAGTAGTACACATTGGTCCTTCTTTCCATGTTTCCTTCTTTAGATAGAGTGGTATTCTAGATTTAAATATGATTGAGTTTCTTCCATAAGTACTCCATGCTAACTTAATTCTTCTGTTGATTTCTGGTAGTAGAGAAGGTTGTGTATTAGTTGTCCCAAATATATTAATTATCAATCAAAAAATATTCTTCTATTTCCAGTGTTATGTTATTTATTAGAATATCTTTTCTTTCCACTAGTTATACATTACTTTAGTTTTTGCTAAATTCATTTTGAAACCCACTTTATTGCTGGCGGTATATTTAGTTCATTAATTTGTGTTAGTAGTTCTTCAGGACTATGAGCAATTGGGACTATGTTGCCAGCGAATCTTAGATGGTTAAGATATTCTCCATCTATTTTTAATCGTTTGTTGGTCTAGTCCAGTAAAATAATGTTAATCATTCTGCGAAATAGTGAAGTGTTATGAAGTACACGCGCATCGTGCACACTTCCTGGCCAATTTGCACTTGTATAATAAAAGTTTAAGTCAGGACCGCATACAGCCATGCAATTAATTGAATGCTTTCCATGGCGGTCGACGTAAGCAGGTTCGTTATTCATGGGGGCATCGATATTTATAGTTCATATTAGATTATTACATAGTTCAGATTATTACATAGTTAGGTCTTTCCCGATACCGATACACTGCACGAGCATTTTCATCATCACTCTCCGAATCACTTGACCACATAATTATCGACAGTAAAGTAAAATGACACGTTTATGGCAAAGGACGGTACTATACTGAACCTATCCAGAGTTCCAGATAGGTAGAAAATTGTTTATAATTGTTGACAGTTCCGTAACACAACTGTTTACGTATGATTATTGTGTTATGGAAACAGACTACAAGTTTACAAAAAGTGCCGTAATTTACAAGATGAGTTGTGTTAAGAAAAAGCTACAAGTGCCAAATATATTTTAACAAGTGTAGGACTTGTACTGCTTGTGTTACAGGCCCCTGGTTATTCTAACTCCATGACCTATATTTTAGTGAGTAAACCTAAGATAAAATTGTTCTTTTATGTTATGTCCAGTTAATACACAAAGATACAAAGAAAGAAAGTTACCGGTACAGGACGTGCCGTAGGTATGATTTAAGATTAGGGAGAAAAAATACAAATACTCAATTATTTATATTTAGTGGTTAATTCTTGCTGCTGTATTAAATATTTCATTATTGAAAAACGAACAGAAAAAATGTGTCGAACCATTCTTTATCTCTCCTTGGCACGTTTGAATTTCCATTATATATCTCCATCACTATTTTACACATTAAAATTCAGACAACGGATTTACGATGAATACACATTGTTTATCACACATTTTCTTGTATTATATTCTATTTTACATTTTTTTGTATTTAGGATTAGATCCAGCCAGACCTCTTATAGATCGATACGCCAATAAATATTTTAGACTGACGAAAGACGATGCTCACCAAGTACAAATAATTCACACCAATGCTGGATTTTTAGGAGAGGTTAATCAAGTTGGCCACGTCGATTTCTGTGTTAATGGCGGAATGAGACAGCCTGGCTGCAAAGGCAGAAGAATACGTAAGGCGCTTTATCTGACTATGTTAACAGTGCTTTAATCCGTCTTATATCATTTTAAGGTATTGCTAGATGTAGTCACTTTCAAAGCGCTTGTTATTTTGCCAAAACTGTCAAATATCCGGATTCTATCATGGGACGACCTTGCGATGCTAAATGCCCAAAAATAGATAGAAAATGGGGATACTTACCTGGAAAATCTATACCAATGGGACACGATACGCCGTACGGGTAATTTTTTTCAGATTTAGATCATCTTTCATTTTTAAGTTAATTATGATACTTTGTTTTAGAATATATGGAAGCTACTGTGTAAATACTGATACTAAAAAAGACTGCCCATTCGAGTAACAACTACAAAATGTACAATCTCGCATCAATGCATATAACATATTATTTATTAAATTATTTTATAATAAAAGAAAAAAATAAATTCTTTTTTAATAAACTTGTATTGACTTAAAAAACATTTTAACAAAAAAAAAATCACAAATAATATCGCTATTTCTGCACAAGAAGAAACTGGTATAAAAATCTTACACTAATTAAACAACAGAATTTGTTAATTTTCACTTGAACATACAATTTGGCTATGGTCAACGGAAGGCTTCTCAATAATGTTCGAAAGACATGCCCTTATTTTCAAAAATCTCTTCTTAAAATCTAAACCACAGCCTTTAGATAAACGAAAGTCTACCAAAATTTTCGCATCCATCTCCAAAAAACTTACTTTCAAAACCAGCTGATTTTTTAAAATATCAACTGTGGAAATTGTAATCTGAAACAAAGATATTTGTTCTATATATTACGCAAAATAGAATTTAACAGATACAATAAAATAATTGAAATAATTTAAGTTGCTTCAGAGGTGTAAATTCAAGTTAAAAATAAACATTTTTTAACAATGATTGAAAGAGGGTATGAAACAAAATATCAATCAAAAAATGTTAGCCAATTATGTCAATTCACTGACATCAATTTTTTGGGCTTTTTCTTGAAAACTTACAATTTTTGGCTGAGTTAAGCTTGATTTTCATGCATCCGTTTTCCGACGATAGGATGATACGATATTAATTTTATTGGTTGAATATAAAGGCTTCGATTGGTTAACCGTTTCTAACCATGGTACAAAGAAAACAAGGTATGATCGATAGCGGCTCCAATTTCGTTCAGTTCGCGCATACCACCTGTGACGTCACTAGGAAAATAACGAATAAATAAAAAATAGTGAAAGTTGACAGGAGATCTGTATTTTTTGGGGTTATAGTTAAGAATTGTTTATTTTTAAGACTTTTTAGTTCATTTAATTTAATAATTACTAAAATCAGCAGTTCCAAATATATATTTAAAAATAAAAGACAAAAATCCAAAATATTAATTATCTATTAACATGGATTTGGACGATAATAGGTAAGAATACTAAATTTATTTCTATATTCGGTATAAAATTGTTATTAGGTTTTTAGTTTGCGATGTTTGTGGTAAATAATTTTCATGTTCATTGTCTCTGAATTTACATGAGGACAGAGATGAGGATATCTATGGAAAAGTAACCACAAGAGGAATTGTTACATCATTTAAAAAATGTTGGGAAGTTGATTGTTTCCCATCGAAAAGTAGAAAATGCCAATGCAGATGTGTTGTAATTGTGATAGAAGTAATTCCAAGGGTGAAGTTTATTATAATTAGTGACCTGTGCTTCTTTTTATATGTAGATGTTTCAGGTTTTGAGAATAAGTCGGTTGAACGAAACCCAAAATTTAGAGGAAGTATTTGCATACCCAGAATATGCCCGTCAAGGATTATAGCTCAAATTTCCTTTAATGGTAGGAAATTATTCAATGCAAATTAACTTTTTAAGTGACTGAAATATTAAATAGTTTACAATATGGTATATCACTGTAAAAATATATTACTTTTAGGTACAATTAGGGCCCGATATATTTCAAAAAGTAGAATATTATTTTATATTAAATGAGGTATTGTACCAACGATCAATTTATATATTAATACCGGAGATTAAAAATAACAGAATAAATAGTTCTTTTTTTTTTTATACTACAAAAATAAACTATAGAATACAACAGTATTTAAAAAATTAAATAAAAAATTTATGTCCCGGCCGAGATTCGAACTCTGGTCTCTCGCTTCCTAGCCTGACTCTTTACGCACTGCTCCACAGTAACTTGCTTAGCGATAATTCAATGACGGTATATAAAAAAAAACAGGTTTATTATATGGTGGGTTCATACAGCCAAATAAAATAAAATAAGAATAAAATAAAATAAAATAAGAAAGTTGGTTATATGGGATACCGTACATGCGTTCATACAGCCAAATAAAATAACAAATAAAATAAGAAGTCTTTATCTTTTAACTTCTTGTTTTATTTTATGTGTTATTTTATTTTAAACGGCTTTGCGGACGCTTAATTCTAACCTACAAATATTTTCAGTTTGGATTTAATTTATTTTATAATTTCACATAAGTAAAATATATAATATAGTAGGCAACGAACAAATAAATATACTATAAATAGTAAAATTACTATAAACAATCGTAAAAGTTAACTTTTATCCAGCCTCATCGTACTGCGCATGAGCAAATATATATTTCTTATTTTATTTTATTTGACTGTATGAACGCACACAAATAAGAATTCCTTATTTCTTATTTTATTTTATTCTTATTTTATTTTATTTGGCTGTATGAACCCACCAATAATATCTTGACGATTTGAACTGGCGCGCGGAGCGTGCTGACCAATAGCGCCAGTTATCACCTGTGACGTAGCGACCAACCTGCGCAATATCATACCTTGTATTCTTTGTACCATGGTTTCTAACCAATCAAAGTCTTTAAATTCAACCAATAAAATTAATATCGTATCATCGTATCGTCGGATAACGGATGCATGAAAATCAAGCTTAATTTGTAAAATTATGCCAATTTTTCTGTGTAAAAAATAACTGTTTTTCAATACAGCTATAGTATTGAACATGGAAAAGGAATACTTACATAATCATGACTTAATTTCATTCTGGCGTTCAAAACACAATAATTAGAAATTGAACGTAATCAGCGAAGTAACTTTTAACCAATACAGAATCGCAATTTTGAGCACCGTTTAATTACTCATCAAAATACTATTAACCAGGATCAAAAGAAGATGAAATAATATGATAAGCCCATATAAATTCACAACTAGTGTCTACGTCCCACTAGTCTGCTCTGGCACCCGAAAATGTTGCCGCTTGTGGTCCCTTAATTTCATGGTTTTCAATTGTCAGCTAAACTAAAGACATGTATTTTTACGGTTTATTTCAAAGTTTGATTGCTATTTGGTTTGTTTTGTTAAAACATTCTTAGTAGTAATCAGAATCTATACTAATATATAAAATCCTTAAGTGACTGACATACTCATTAATCACGATCCTGCTCAAACCACTCAACGTAAGAAGCTCAATTTTGGCATACAGGTTGATTCTAGGGTGTAGAGGTTCGATAAGAAGGGATTTTTCGAAATTCCAGTTCCAAGAGGGTGAAATCACCTCTCAAATATTACAATATTTTTTATTTAAAAAACGGTCAAGTTTCCGAAAAAACGCTTAAACCCGTATATTTTATTTTGTTGTTTTATATATTTTAAGATTTTTTAAAAATGTATACAGGGTGTTTCGAAAAATCTGGTCATTGATTAATCACGATCCTGCTTAAAGCCCTTGACGTAAAAAGCTGATTTTTGGAAAACAGATTGACTTTAGGGTGTAGAGTTCGATAAGAAGGGATTTTTCGAAACTCAAATTCTAAGGGGGTGAAACTATCCCTCAAATATTAAAATATTTTTTATTTAAAAACCGGTGAGTTTTTCGGAAAAACTCTTAAACCCGTATATTTTATTTTGTTGTTTTACATATTTTAAGATTTATTATAAATTTATACAGGGTGTTTCATAAAATATGACCAATGAGTAACCACGATTCTGCTTAAACTGCTTGACGTTTAAAGCTGATTTTTGGCAAACGGATTGACTGTGGGGTGTAGAGGTTCGATAAGGAGGGGTTTCTCGAATTTCAAATTCCAAGAGGGTGAAAACGCCCCTCAAATATTACAATATTTGTTATTTAAAAAACGGTTAGTCTTTCGGGAAAACGCTTGGACAAGCATAATTTATTTGGTTTTTTTACATATTTTGAAATTTTTTAAAAAATCATACAAGGTGTTCCAAAAAGTTGGGTAATTTCTTAACCACGATTCTGCTTAAACTGATTGACGTAAAAAGCTTATTTTTGGCAAACGGATTTTTCGAAAGTCAAATTCCAACGAGATGAAACTACCCCTCAAATATTACCAAGTTATATAATCAAAATAATCATAATATAATATCGAAGAATATCGCCATATTGTTTTTTCTCATGCTGACATAAATGTGAGAAAATTTTATCCAGTTTGTATGTTAATGGAAATTCTTGCTTTGCTTTATCATCACCATTACAAATGATTAATTCGACGCGAACGAAGTAGCTGGTACACGCTAGTACCAGAGTAAGAAAACCGCCGAGTAGCGACAGTCCCGTTTTCAATTTTCTTTGCGGCTGCGCGAAATAAGTAGATTATCTGTCATATGAAGAAGCGAAATTGCCACTGTTGCCATTTATCAAATATCTCTATAGACTTTATTTCAAGTATACCTCAGGCAACAAATCGTTTTTTTAATTATTTATTAGCTGTAAGATATTTTATACATTCAAATTTAGAAATAAGGATAAAACAAAAGAAAAAAATATATATATAAAACTTTATAATTAATTCCACTTCAAATTATGAGCAGTGTATACCATGTTTAGGACCACTTCATAAGTTGAGCAGTTAAATACATAGTCTATCTGTCAAACACGTCAAAAGAGAGAGAAAGAAAATTTGGTTTGGTTTGGTTTGGACGGTTTCTGTCGCTACTCGGCGATCTACTTACTCTGCTTGTACTAAATAAAGCAAGAATAAGTGAACTGACTACCAAGTTTTGTACGTTTTAGTGTAGGTTGTTTATTCTATTATAATCTCTAATATTTACTAGATATTTAAAATTTGTTTAAAAATAAAATTCAAATATTTTTATTTATGAAAATATATGATACTTTAATAAAAAAAACTTTTGATAAGCTACTAGATCTTAATTTTCACCGCATATGATTCAGACTGAACGTTAGTCAAACCATCTAGAAATATTTTTATCTACCATATATTTTGATTATAAAGATTTATTAACAAAAACTACTTTTCATAAAGTATTATTTGATTTATATTTGCACTGAATTTAATTCAGGCTGAACATTAATCGAACCATCATGAAGAAATGAAAATTTCAAAGATTGGAAAAATCTAATGAATTATTATGTGTGAAAATTCGTTAATACCAACTTGTATAATAAATAATAAAAGTCAATGTATAAACAGTGTTCTTTAATTTTAATTCATTTTATTAAGAAATAAATTCAAATTTTCTAGTTCAGACGGTTTAATAAGCTTTCTGGAGGCTTTTCTTGAACGTTTTCCCATATATTTTAGTTTGTACAATGTAAAATAATAATACAAATGTAAAATTATATGGGGAATGTCAACGATGTTCATTTCTAAGGTATCAGTCATATGGTATATGTCTTATCGTTGTGTAAACCGTTCATAAAATAAGGCGACAACAAACGGCAACATTGTCGGGTGCCACACTAGACTAGTGGGACATGGACGCTAGTTAAAGGTACATTTTGTCTTAACCTTAAGTTCAAAAAAGTTTCAAAAAATGGTAGAAATTTTACTACTAATTTCAAATGGATCATACTGTATACCGAATACTTTTTAACAAACATGTTTTTGGAATAAAACCAGTTTTATTTCTCATCTCATTTTAAATATTACTATTATGAAAAACTAATTTAATTATCATTAAAAAGACTTATATTATTTATTTATTGCTTTGTTTTGCTTCTAGTGATGACAGCCGATAAATAGTCAAATTTTTTAAATTTATTTCCAACCACAAGAAGGTTTAATACTTACAGTTCCAGCAGCATCTATAGACCAGCAATAATGAAAACTATCTAAAACAGATCCAAGGGCTTCAACAGCTTTTGTCAACGAACAGGTCACATAGAATCTTGTCATCCTCTTAACCAGATTATGGAAATTTTCTCTAGTAATAGGGCTTTGAGTAAACTGAAGTATAACATCATCATTCCTAGTGGGCTGGGAGAAACAAATGGAATCCCTCGATTTTGTAGTCTTGATATCATCAACCAACTGGTCAATTGTGGCTGGACGTATTACCATTGTTGGTTGTGATAAAGTGACTAGTGGAACTTCGCGATTATGTTTAGTCTCACTCTCCATCATCGAGTTCCATCTTTTAGCTGGGTTTGTTGCATGACCATCACCTTGGTCCGTGGTATTATCTACATGAGAAAATATACAAATAAATAAGTAACAAACATTTAGATCTTAATAATTCATATTTTTATACAATGAAATAGATGATGAGCCATACTTTCTGCTTTGGTAATTTAGCTTTATGAGTATCAAAAGCATCATACAGCTATAATACCAAAGCAAAATGAAGTTAGCTATTTGTAACTAAACCCTGAAAAAAAAACATCATGTTTTTTTTACATATTACCATCTCCAAAATTAAATTTCATCCAAGGGTGTTTTAATATTTGCTCTAATGTTAATCTTTTCTCAGAGTCTTCATTTAAAATTTGTCTTGCTAAACTTAGAGTAGTGTTGCCTAATTTTGACCAAGGAGTTTCTGAAATATAATTATCCCTACGCCACTTCAGAAACTCTTGATTTTCATCTGTGGTATCAGCCCATGGAAGCTCTAGAGAAAGAAATGGTATATTTAGAAACAGTTACATTATTTTGTGTCAATTACCTCCTGTTAGCATAGCTACAAACACTATGCCGCAACTCCATATATCTGACGGTCTTGCAAAATATGGTCTCTTTAATACCTCTGGTGCTAAATAGGGCCTAGTTCCACATCTATAATACAATGGCAAAAAAATGGTATAAATAATAATTATATTTTTTGTATAATTACTTTTTATCCAGTTTTCTTTCCTTTCCTTTTAGCCTGAATATTGTGGCCATTCCAAAATCACTTATTTTCAATACTCCGTTACCATCAATTAATAAGTTTTCCGGTTTTATGTCTCTATGAACTATTCCTTTGTTATGCAAATATTCTATACCATTTAATAGATGTTTCATAAATGTTTGTGCATTACGAGAAGGCATGCCTATATCAGGTTCTAAAAATATAGGTATTTATAAAATTTTTAGAAAAAGCGTTTACAAAAATCTTACCAATCATTTGAAACAATTCACCCCCAGAAGCATATTCTAAAAATATGTATTCTTTTTTTGGTTCCTGTCTTCTGCCAAAAAATCTTATTATATTGTCGTGGCTAAGCATACTGTGGATCATTACTTCTCGAGATATATTAGTTTTTGCATCTTTGTACTTTGAGTGATCTATTATTTTGCACGCTACTTTTTCATCAGTATTTTTATGAACCAGTAATCTTACTCTAGAAGAAGTAACTCTGACTTAAGATTGGGAAACTATATAATTTCTTGTTTAAAGATCCAACTTACATTTAATAACCAAACTTAATAAACAGATAAACTAGACTTACTCTCCATAAGCTCCTTCTCCAAGAATCGCATCGTAGCATAACCACCCTTCCACAAACGTTGTCGTCGACATTATAAGTAATACTTTAAGTCCCTACTAGCTAAACAATCACATAATACTTAAAAAACTGTAACTTTATATGTATAATATATTATTGAAAAGCTTTGAATCAGGGAATAGGTACACTTTGAACAAAAAGATTAACTTAAAACTGCTTAAAACCAGAGCTAAAAACAAATGATTTCTAGGTTAATATTTTTAAAAAAATAGTGACACTACTACAAAAATGCACTTTAGGCATTTCTTACATTACATGTATCGTATTTTTCACTATATAACTTTAAGTGAAAATTAACAAAGAAAAAAGTTCCGACATGATAAAACACGAAAACAGAATTTTAGTTAAAAATCGATTTCGCGGTCATAGGTGGCATTACCATGGCACCATCTAGAGATAAGAGAAAAAACTACTGCCATTAGGAGATGAGCTCTGTAAAATGGGGCATAAGTCCGTAAAAATCTTTGTAAAAATCATGAAATAAAATAACGATTTTTACGTGTAAAGAACTAAGCCTTTTACAGGATAGTTGTGTACGTTTTGAACACAGATGTTATGAACGTTTTATAAAAACAAAAAAAAACTTGCTTTGAACCGTCCAGGGTTCAGCGTACACAAACCATTGCAATTTTTTTCAAGTTTTAGTATTAAAATAAACGTAAAAAACGCAAAAAAATTGGAAAGTTTTTCTGTGGCCAATTAGAATCAATAAAATGACTATAAAATGACCAAACATAGTGATACAGAGATAGTCTATAATCTCGGTAGATATTTTTTTTGTAAAAATATCATTTTTAAAAATAGATCTTTCGACTGATGTGTTTTTTAGAGAACTTTTACTGGTAATACCCTTTTGCTAGTCTATAGACGTAGATTTTTACGTTTTTTTTAGATAACGCAAAAACATTGCTTGTAAAAAATCTAGACATTTTACGTGTAAATAACTAATAACTAGTTTTTTATCTGTCCATCCCTGACACCACAGAGATTTATATCTATGATTTCAATAATCTTCCCTTAAGAATCTTTAGCATCTGTGGGAGATGGTGAAATATATTCTGTGGTGCTCTACTCACGACTGTCACGTCATTCAACGTCATTGTCATGTTAGATGTCATATGTCATGTTTGTGTTTTGTTTTTAATGTTTTTATCGCAGTGTCTGCTGCAGGTTCTCTTTTATTGAAGGGGAACATTTCTTGGTGAATTTGTGTGAATTAGTGATAATATACGTTCATGAAGATCACACCACTGGTCACAGAAAAATTGATCACTAATAGCTTTTTTCTATAAATTGTTTTGTGTGGATATAGTTTTTTGGTTAAGAGTTGTTAAAGAGCCACTTCCACCTTCATTGATTAGGATTGTTTGGGAAGTCTAGCTTCACAGTCTAGCTTTAATTTTGTTTTTATCCTTAATTATGTCAGGAAGCGGATCAGGAGATGATCAAAGCGAGGATGGAGAATTACGCCAAAGCCCTGGCGAAACGTCTAAAAATAAAATAGAAGGAACGGAATACAAAAGGTAAGAAGTTTTGTAATTTTATTATTATTATTACGTTAGATGTTTTTATAGCGACGATGAAGATATAGGAGATATGGATGCGTTGGATATAAAACCGCCTCAAGCTAAAATTTTAGATCATAAAACAAAGAAAAGAGAACATGAAAGATCACGTAGAAAGTCAGATAAAAATGAAAAGGGCAGAGAAGTTCGACATTCTCATAGAGATAAACATCACAGGTTAGTAGGTATTTATCATAGAATTAAAAATTTATCAGTATTTATGGTACTTATTTTAAAAATGGGATATTTTTACAAACATTTGCTTATCAACTAAAAAACTTATAAATCTAAACATTTTGATATTTTTTTGTATCTAATTTTTTTAATGCCTCACCTTTTTAAGTGTTCTTCTTTACACTATTGTAACATTGATGAAATGCATTACAAATGCATTCTTTAACTGCACGTGACAATTTATGATCCAAAATTAGGGGATGTTCAATTTTTGTGAAAGAAAATAATATTTTGTAAAAACGAAATTTTTCAATAGATATTTTAAATTGATGTTTTTTTTTCTTTTTAGAGATAAAACAAAATCTGAGAAACTTAAAGATGTTTATCAAAGAGAAAAGTACTATAGGGAAAAACAGCAAATGTTTGAGCAGATAAGTTATTCTGAACATCACTATGTAAATGAAAGAGGTTTTCGTGTGAGAAAAAGTGAGGAAACTCGTTCCAGACATGACAAAAAGCATGGGGAGAGGAAGCCAAAAGAGGTAATATACTGGAAGTTATTTTTATCTAATATAGGTAATGAAATCTACACATTGGCAGTTATTATATTTTTTCATTGTATTATTTTTTCGCTGTTATGTATGAAAACAGTCGAGTTTAGGTAAAATATAGGAGGTACCGCAAAAAGTTAAATACAAAAATTATAGGATTTTTAAATATGTAGTAGCAAGTAATAAATTTAAGTATACATGGTCGGTCACAAAGTCGTGGCACATAAAAGTTTTATTTTTTTAATAGAACCCCCTGTATATTACTGCATATTTCAATAATTCTTCCTTCAATTCTAAGCAAAAATCGAAATACACACAATGTACCTCAAACAAACCATTTTCGAGTTATTGACTTTTGAACAAATCACTTAAAGAATTTGATTTAATTAATTTCAATATGTTCAGTTTTATTTAATGATGCCATTCTGCCAGAACTGTGGTACTGTTCTAATGGATTTTTAAATGCCTATTAGCACAGAATATCTAGCTACGCAACAGAAAAATACTCGAAATGAAAGAGCTAAAATTGCACAAATAAAATACTAGATGGCGCGACAATATCATAATCAGAATATAATTGGAAATTTTGAACTTTTGGTTTTGGATCGATGCGGATCGACGGCACGTCGACTGCCTTGAAGCTCGGCTAAATATGCACAGTTGCCAGATTCAAAAAGACTTTAATTGGCATCCCATTCTTTTTCTGGTGTATAATAGTTTCTTTCTATTCTTGTTTTCTTGTCAGATACACTTATATTAATTATTCGTTTGGCTTTTAAAATAGTTTTAAGTATATTATTACAAAACGTATACACTACCTTATATTTTTAACTAAGAAAATACATTTAATTACTTTTAAACATGTACAGGGCGATTGATATTGATATTTATTAATGCTGGAACGTTAGTAATGAAATATAAGTTTAATAATAATGGAAATAATTTATTAAAATGCAGTACAAAAAATGTTAATTGACTAAAAAAATAGTATAATAACAGATTTCTTCTGTTTGCCACGTTATTTATATATAGCTAGGTAGATATTAAAAAGTGACACAGGTACAATTATTAATAATATCATACTCGGCATAAAAGTTGCTGTCACGACATTGTACAATAAATTAAAATTCGTAAAATAAATTAAAATTATTAATTAACAAAACAAATCTTTATAAAGAAACGCAAGTATACCAAATTTGGGCCCAATCGCAATCCAGGAAATGACATAATAATATTGTACTATATTATGGTACCACTCGATATGCTTCAAGGTACCATAATATTGCAATATCACTGAAGATCCGTAGTATACCAAGTTTAAGCCCAATCGAACGCCAGGAAATGGTATCGTAATATGGTACTACATTATGATACCTCTTATTGATATGCTTCATGGTATCATAATATTGCAATGTCATTGAACATACGCAAGTATATATCAAATACGAGCCCAATCGAACGTCAGGAAGTGGTATCATGATGTAGTACTATAGAAGGTACCACTTTATATGCATCATAGTACCATCATATTACAATGTCACCGAAGATACGTAGTATACCAAGTTTAAGCCCAATCGAACGCCATGTACGTAATATGGTACTATATTATAGTACCACTGGATATGGTTCATGGTATCATAATATTGCAATGTCATCAAAAATACGAAATTATATATCAAGTATGACCCCAATCGAACGTCAGGAAGTGGTGTCATAATGTAGTACTATAGAAGGTACCACTTTATATGCATCATAGTACCATCATATTACAATGTCACCGAAGATACGTAGTATACCAAGTTTAAGCCCAATCGAACGCCATGTACGTAATATGGTACTATATTATGGTACCACTTGATATGGTTCATGGTATCATAATATTGCAATGTCATCAAAAATACGAAATTATATATCAAGTATGAGCTCAATCGAACGTCAGGAAGTGGTATCATAATATGGTACTATAAAAGTTACCACTTTACATGCATCATAGTACCATCATATTACAGTGTCACCGAATATACGTAGTATACCAAGTTTAAGCCCAATCAAGCGCCATGTACATATGTAGTATGGTACTATATTATGGTACCACTTGATATGCTTCATAGTACCATAATATTGCAATGTCATCAAAAATACGCAAGTATATATCAAATATGAGCCCAATCGAACATCAGGAAATGGTAACATAATATGGTACTATAGAAGGTACCACTTTATATGCTCCATGGTACCATAAAATTACAATATCACCGAAGATACGTAGTATACCAAGTTAAAGCCCTATCGACCGCCATGTATCTAATATGGTACTATATTTTGTTATGGTACCACTTGATATGTTTCATGGCTTCATGGTACCATAATATTGCAATGTCATCAAAATTAAGCAAGTATATATCAAATATGAGCCCAATCGAACGTCAGAAAGTGGTATCATAATATGGTACTATAGAAGGTACCACTTTATATGCTCCATGGTACCATAATATTACAATGTTACTAAAGATAAGTAGAATACCAAGTTTAAACTCAATCGAACGCCATGTATCGTAATATGGTACTTTATTATGGTGTACTATTTCCCATATAAATTTACATATAAAATGACAGCGATCTTCATTTCATAGTCATCGCTAACGCCTTTTTTTCCCGATCATGCTGTATAAAGTATGAACACAATTGAACGTCAGGAAGTGGTATCATAATAGTAGAACAATATTTATTACATTGTAGCCGGATTACAATCAAAATTCAGGATTCAATTACAATCAAACGTCAGGAACTGATTGTAACTCAGCTCGTAAGATTTAACTCCATCTAACATGGCAAGTTAAATACTTAAACGTTTGAAAAAAGAGCTCTGATCTATTTTAATATGTTTAAATGATGTAGCAAATTTGAAGGTAGGCTTTATCAGGAAGTATTACAATATGAATTACACAATGGCAACACTGCACAAAATTCTTTTAAATTTTGTTTGTAGAAAACTGTTTTCTTTAAAATTTATCGCCCTCTATTATGTAGTAGCGAAACTACCGCATCAAAATATCTGATTTGGAGACAGGCTTTAAAAGCATGTCTCCTTTTGATACCTACAATTTTATGCATGTAACGAGGCTTCTGTTGCGTAGCTAGATATTCTGTGCTATTAGCCTTGTATATATATTTTTAAAGTAGATCAACCTCAAGATCAACCTAAGACGTTTATGGACTAAGACTACTAGATGGCAGGACCGGTTTCCCTACAGAAAAATATTTTTGTTACTTACTTACTAATTTTGAAGCTACTAATAAAAACAGAGAAAATAAAAATCGATAATTTTCGGACTGTGCCAATTGGTTACTAATTGACCAGATACTTTTTGTCTATTAGATATGCTATAAAAGCTGGCAATTATACAATTCGACCACTGTAAATACCCGACAAATTCTTCAACGCCGACAAGGCCGATGCTTCTCACTGACAAGAAATACAAATGTTTGTTTAGATAATTTTCGAGGTATTATTTCTTTCTGAATGCACATTTTAAAGTATTTTATATTCTTTGTTCCCTTGACCTATTATCCTGGGTTGCACGTATGGAAGTTCTGTTTCTTCTAGTTTTAGAAAATGTTCTTATTTCTTTTTTCTTTGTAGTTGTAGTGTAAAATTAGATTAATTTATTAAGTTTAATTATAGTGTTTAGTGTAGCGTGTTAGTGTAGTCTACCAAAAATAGTTTAGTAGTGTTTTTATAGTTTATTTTGTAGTTAAGTAGTAGGTGAAGGGATAATTTTGTTATTTTTTCTTTTTGTTTGATAAATTAGTAAGTTTGATAATTTGTTCAGTGTAGAATACAAGAATAAGTAGTTGTGTAGTGTTTTTAAGAGATTATATTCGTTTATTTTGTAGTTGAGTAGTAGGTGAAGGGGTATTTGGGTATTTTTTCTTTTTATTTTTCTTGTAATAATTGTAGTAGTTCTATTAAGTATTGTGATAGATACACTATATCTTCCATCAACTTCGTTGAAAAGTGCGTTATCATATAATCTTGGTTTTCTGGTAGCAGAATATACGAAAAATTTGATCAAATTTATTTGAAATTAAATTAATCTAGCCTTATTAATCAAATTAAACTAGTCAAATAATAATAATAGTTAGTTTCAAAATACTATACAGGGTGAGTTTCCTACGATGTTCTCTATGGGTATCTCGGAAACTACTGGAGATAGAGAGTCGGTTAATAGGGAAAGAATTGCAGTTTTATGGGGTCATAAATATGCGCCTTTCGGATTTTTGAAAAAGTTTATCGCTTACTGGATTTCGAAAAAAAACATATTTTGGATATTTTACAACTTGTCCCTAATTCCATTATAATCTATTTTAGACAAAAAGTTGTAGATAATCACATACCTAATGAGTTTGTGTTTTTTGATTCTTTTTAAAGCCTGTAATTTTTGACCATATATGTAGTTGGCCATGACTTATTCATAAAAATCGACATTTTAAAGCTTTTCGGCGATATAGGTATATACGTTTTTTTCGAAAAATTACAGTTACAGTCTGACAAACGGATCTGAAACAACGGGGCAACGGTAAGGGGATCGCAATTTTGTGAAATCATGACCGATTTCATTCATAAAATATCCAGGAGCGTGCGGTGTTTCATAAAAATATATCAGGAATTTTTATAATATTTTCCAGTAAAGTTTATAATATTATTTTACTTTAAATGTATCTACATTTTGTTTAGTCATTTGCCAAATATAGTAATATTTGTTAAAACGCGTGTACTAATTACAATAAGCAGAAATCAAGTTAAAGACATAAAACACAATATAATACACCGCCACTGGATTTTTCAGTAGTAGTGGCTGTTTCTACTATTCCTAGAGAGGGGCATAAAGTTGGGGGTAATGGCGGTAAGACGTGCGAGAATCTCGACCAATCAGATTAGTTGAATCCGGGATGCCATGATGAATTTTGTCAGTGTTGCCAGCTTGCCC